CCAGACACAGGAACAGTTTCTTCCCTCAGGCAATCCATCTCATGAACACTTGACAATAAACGTGGAACACACAACACTACTATACATTCATTTATTTAACACATACTTTTTTACATTTCAAATTTGCACATATCATACCTGTGCATCCATAATTGTCTATATTATATATTGTGTTTTTGTTATTTTGTACATTGTCTTTTTTGTATATTTGTATATTTTTCTTTTATTATCGATGTCCTGTCTTGTCACTGTCATTCTGTTGCACTGTGGAGCTTCTGTCACTAAAACAAATTCCTCGTATGTGTAAACATACCTGGCAATAAAGCTCATTCTGATTCTGATTCTAATGACTTTGTTTACATAACACCTCAGTGGGATTTTTTTTTTATAAATAAATGATTCAATATTTAAATGTACAAAATAATTTACAAACTGAACAAAATCGAATTATGAAATTGCGTTAACTTCATCAAATCAATTTTATATAACACTTTACAATATTTTTACAGCATTTATTAGTTTTGGTTAATCTTGATTTCCATATATGCTAATACATTTTCCAAGTTGTATAAATTAACATTTGTGTATTATGAACAAACACCAATTAAATACTATGGTTTTAACATGCGCAACTGATGTCAACAATAATGTTACCCTTGTTGTTAAATGTTTCCAAATTTGGATGTTTTTTTGGATGTGTTAGATTTTATGCATGTTTGTTTTTAAAGAGCAAACGTGTGTGTGTTTCAGATCTGGAGGTGTATGTGCTCAACACAGAGATGGAGCTAAAGGATCTGTCCTTCCCGAACTCGTATGACAGCGACAGCACCATCTACGTGTCGGCATCCACCATCAAACAGTACAGCCGCAATGGTCAGTCTCTCTCTCTCCATCTGTCTGTCTCAGATGCTCACACTCTTCACAAGGTTTCTCCACGCAACACGCATCCAGGCCGGTTCTCCCGACGTTGCCATGGCAACAGTCACCATGGTCACCGGCTCCTGTGGCCGTTGCCGTGGTGACGTGTGTGTGTGTGATGATGCGGGTTATTTCGAGAGCTGTGTGGGATCGATCGCAGCCGAGCGAGTCGTGTAGATCTGACACGTGACCGTGTGTGTGTGTGTCCATCAGGTCAGGTGAAGGTGGTTTTCACGCTCTATAAGAACCTGGGCTCGTTCCTCTCCACTCAAAACGCCACGCTGAAGACGGACGGCAAGCAGAAGTCAGGAGGACAGAGTCTGGCTGTCAACTCCCACATCATCTCTGCCTCCATGAACAAAGAGTCCAGCCGAGTGTTTCTGACCAAACCCGTCGAGTTCACGCTGAGACACCTGCAGGTGCAAACACACACTGCAACCACTGCAACACACACATTCACACTCACACTCACACACACACACACATCATTTGCTGATATTAGAAATCATGATAGAAATAATCAGAAATGTTTCTTGAGCAGCAAATCAGCATATTAGAATGATTTCTGAAGATCATGTGACACTGAAGACTGCAGTAAGAATGCTGAAAATTCAGCTTTGATCACAGAAATAAATAAAAGTTTAACAGATATTCACATAGAAAACAGCTGTTTTAAATTGTAATAATATTTCACAATTTTTTCTGTATTTTTAATCAAAAGAATACAGCCTTGGTGAGCAGAAGACACTTTAAAAAACATTACAAAAAAAATTCCTACCAAACCCAAATTATACCTTACATTAGAAAAAAAAACAAGTTTAATTTTATATCGCATAAGTAACTAGAAATGTGTTTAATTGGTTAGAATGTTTTAATAAGAAAAGAAAAATAAATAATTTTATATAATAATTATTCAAAACAAATGACTAAATTAAAAAAAGATGTTTTCTCAAGTGCTCTCAGGCATTTAAGAAACATAAACACACTCTTATAAACTGTAAATGGCTCACGGGCGTCTGTGTGGTTGTGTTTTGACAGCTGGAGAATCACTTCAATCCCAACTGTTCGTTCTGGAATTACTCTGAGCGCTCGATGATGGGTCAGTGGTCATCGCATGGCTGCAGACGTCTGCACAGCAACAACACGCACACCACCTGCGCCTGCTCGCATCTCACCAACTTCGCCGTGCTCATGAACCACCAGCAGCCCGCCGTGAGTCTCAAACACTCACACACGCGTTTAACCCTTCACACGCAGCGCCTCAGTCATTTACGCTCTGTTGTTCTCTCGGTGCCAGTATCCCGGCGGCGTTCAGGGTCTTATCCTGTTCGTCATCACGTGGGTGGGGATGGTGATCTCTCTGGTGTGTCTGGCTCTGTGTATCTCCACCTTCTGCTGCCTGCGAGGCCTTCAGAGTGACCGCACCACCATCCACAAGAACCTGTGCCTCACGCTCTTCATCTCACAGCTCCTCTTCCTCATCGGCATGGACAAGACACACTATACAGTGAGTTCATGAGGGCCAGACTGCATCAGAGTTAACCAGACCACATTAGACTAAACCAGACCACGCCAGACTGCATCAGAGTTAACCAGACCACATTAGACACATCAGACCTAACAAGACTTTATCAGACTAAACCAAACCTCATCAGACCATCCTGATCACATCAGAGTAAACCAGGCTACATCAGACCACATTAGACACATCAGACCTAACAAGACTTTATCAGACTAAACCAAACCTCATCAGACCATCCTGATCACATCAGAGTAAACCAGGCTACATCAGACCACATTAGACTAAACTGGACACGCATCAGACCAAACAGGACTTTATCAGACTAAACCAAACCTTACCAGACCAAACAGTCAACCTAAATCAGATCACATCAGAGTAAACCAGGCTACATCAGACTGAATTAGATGAAACATCATCAGACCTAACAAGACTTTATCAGACTAAACCAGACCACCTCAGCAGTGAAGTGCTCATGCGTCAGGTGTGTGTGTGTGTGTGTGTGTGTGTGTGCGCGTGCGTGTGTATGTGTGTGTGTGTGCAGGTGGTGTGTCCGGTTCTGGCCGGTCTGCTGCACTTCTTCCTGCTGTCTGTGTTCTGCTGGCTCTGCATGGAGACGGTGCAGCTGTATGTGCTGATGGTGGAGGTGTTTGAAAGCGAGACGTCTCGTCGTAAGTACTACTACCTCTCCGCGTACGGCTTCCCCACGCTGGTGGTGGCCATTTCCACAGCCATCGACTACAGGAGCTACGGAGGGCCCAAAGCGTGAGTGTGTTTCCGTCTGCAGGACTCATAGGAGGGATAGGTGTGTTTGTGTGTGTGTCATTTCTCTCTTGTTTTGTGTAGTTGCTGGTTGAGGGTTGATAACTACTTCATCTGGACGTTTATTGGCCCCGCCTCCCTCGTTATTCTGGTAAGATTCATTTACTTATTTATTTATAACATATTTACAACATATTTGAAATATTTACACCTTTGTATGTAGATGGACCTTATAAATGTGCCGTCTCTTTTAGTATGTATGTGTGTATATATATATATATATATATATATATATATATGGTGAATATCTTGACCAATTATTTGACCAGACTAACAAGTCTAACAAACCTTAAGACATATTCAAACATGTATGCACATGTAAAGAGCTTATAAAATTGCAATTTTTATATCGTTTTTAAAAATGTATTAATTTACTTATTCAAATTTATTTTTTAGATTTAAAACCATTTTTTTAATAAAAATAATTATTTATTTATTTATAAGTGTATGCAGATGAACTGTTATATACTGGTAAAAAAATGTATAACCTGAATGCACTGTAAGTCGCTTTGGATAAAAGCGCCTGCTAAATGCATAAAATATTAATTAATTAATTATTAAATTATATATGTACGAGCAGAACACATTCTGAGTACTATTGCATATCTCACAATGCAGTGTGCTCAACTAGACCCTCGATTCCCAGCAAGAATGTTTGGACTAAAATGACTAAAAATGCCAAATAACTTTATTTGTGAGGGGATAAATGAACACTTGCTATCTTGTGAGTGTTTTCTGCTCTCTTAAGAGCCGTCTGACCTTTGAGCTCTTGTGTTTAGCTGAACCTGGCAGTGCTGGTCATCACCATCCACCGCATGCTGCGCCACTCCACCGTCCTGAAGCCAGACTCCAGCCGATTCGACAACATCAAGTGAGAATGCAGGGGTCAGGGGTCACACGGGGTTTGTCCTGTAGCCTCGGCATACTATTTACATGAAATCTGTTGCTGTGAGTGACGGATTGCTGTTGATTTCCTGCTGTCTGACACCGAGTCGAGTTTCCTGTGCTCAGCTTGTGGAGTCGCTTCTCATGCAGAGCGTTTCATATCATCACAATTATTGCAAACTTGCATAGTGTTTCTTATTTCTGCAGGTGTTATAGCAGAAACTCAACTGATTTAAGTGAATACTAAATGCACAGATAATATTTACAGATTATTGACAAAAAACATAAAATAATAATAATAATAAAAACTGTGAAATCCTGATGGACTGGACATTTTTGAAGATATCTGTTTAGAGGAATGTTACTTTCATGCACTCAAACTGACCAAAAAAAAAAAAGACCAAACTGTTTAAGATGTATTTATTGTTTAAATTGCCTGTTTGTTTGTTTGTTTGTTTATTTATTTATTTTACAAAATCAGGTTTTACACAAATGCAGATGACACTTTTATTTTAGCCTTATTTAGAATTAGCTTTTGTTTTTATTTTTTTAGATTATATTTGTTTTTAGATTTTTCGCTTTCTTTTTAGTTAAAGTTTTATTAATTTAATTGTGCTTTACGTTTTTTATTAGTTTTTTTAAACATGCATTTAGTTTTTATTCATTTTTATGTTTCATGTTTTAGTTGTAGTTCTTTTCATCTAATCAGCATTTCATTAGTTTCAGTTTTTTTTAAGCGCGTCTATTTAGCTTTTATTCATTTGTATTTGTTTTAGCTGTAGTAATTTAATTTAACAGGTGATTTTATTAGCTTTTGTTTTAAAAAAAAAATGATTTAGTTTTTATTATTTTTATTTTAGTTTCACGTGTAGTAATTTTATCTTAATAGGCATTTTTATTAGTTTTTTTTAACATGTCTGTTTAGTTTTTATTAATTTCTTTTACAGTTTTAGTTGTAGTAATTTCATGAAAATTAGACATGTTGCCTTAGCAACTAACTAAAATGAGTTTTTGTAATCTGCTTTATTTCTGTCAGTGTTAAGTGTATGCAGTTTACAAATGTTTTTCAGTGTTTTTAGTCTTAGTTTGGTAACGGTGTGTGTGTGTGTGTGTTGAGGTGCTGGACGCTCAGCTCTATCACGCTGCTGTTACTGGTGTCTCTGACGTGGATCTTTGGCCTCCTGTTCATGAACGATAACGGCGTGGTGATGGCGTACCTCTTCACCTCCTTCAACGCCCTGCACGGCATGTTAATCTTCCTGCTGCACTGCGCGCTGCAGAAGAAGGTGTGTGGCTGTTTGCGTGTTTCCTCACGCGTGTTTGTCCTCCTGACCTGCTTTCATACGCAGTGCTGTGTGCAACAGGTGCAGAAAGAATACAGCAAATGCTTGCGTCAGTCGCCCTGCTGTGGCCACGCCTCCTCCACCGGTTCCCACGGTTCCCTCAAGAGCTCCGCCCACCGAGGCAACAATCGCTACTATGGCGGCAGCCAATCACGACACGCGCCAGCACAAAGACAGGTAACGCACATGCGGGTGTCTGTCCGAAATATCAGCCTTACAGGAATTTGCACACCTGTGGTTTAAATCTCACCCGTGTGTGTGTGTGTGTGTGTGTCTGTGTGTGTGTGTGTGTGTTCAGAGCCGTATCAGGAGAATGTGGAACGACACTGTTCGACGGCAGACAGAATCGTCCTTCATGGCAGCTGAGATCAACAACACACCCACACTCACCCGAGGTGAAATAAACGCCCATCCAGCGTGAAACGCCCCTCGCTAATCATCATTTCAGTTCCTGTGGTTTCTCACCCGTGTGTGTGTGTGTGTGTGTGTCTGTGTGTGTGTGTGTGTTCAGAGCCGTATCAGGAGGATGTGGAACGACACTGTTCGACGGCAGACAGAATCGTCCTTCATGGCAGCTGAGATCAACAACACACCCACACTCACCCGAGGTGAAATAAACGCCCATCCAGCGTGAAACGCCCCTCGCTAATCATCATTTCAGTTTAATTAGTTATATAGAAAAATCTACATTTTGCTTTTTTAAAAATTTAAAATATTACTAAAAAATAAAGAATTTTTAAAAATGTATAAAATGTTTTGAAATCATTTTCTGTGTATACATATTTAATAGATTTTAATACATGTATTATACGCAGAAAAATATTCTAAAATGTCTACTTTATTTAAAAAATAAAAATATTATTAGTAATAAAGTTAATAAGAAAAATTGTTAGTAATGATCAAGAATAAAAATGTTCTAATAGTAAAGTATATACAAATATAAATAAAAACCTTTGATTTAAAAAAAATGTGAAAATATGACCATTTATTTTAAAACTAAAAAAAATAGAATGAAAAAAAAAAAAACAAATTATAAAATAATATGAATAAAAGTAAATTGTAAATATTGAAATATGGATACATTTTCCAGATTCAGCCCAAAAGGCTTATTTCATTTATTGCTCAGAGGTCACAAAAATATTTGCAAAAAGGTGCAAAAGTGCAGAACATTTTCTGATGTGATCGCACATATAAGATTAAAACAAGTGGTCACATGTACTTCCACTAATGTGATTTATCTGTAATCTTGTCGGTGTATTAAACAATATGTGGGTAAGACAAATTTAAAATTTGTATATATTTAATAAATAATTATAACAAAAAGTATTAGTAATAAAAAAGTATATAAAATATATATATTAAAAAACACTTAATCCTCTGTCAGGATACATTGTTGCTTTCTTTTATATGGACATTTCATATAAATTTTTTTTCCCACAAAGTACACAATTTTTTTTTTAGTTTTGTTAGAATGTTTTCCCTGAAATTCACACCCTAAGAGCACCATTTTCCGAGAGCGACTCATATCAACTCACACAGCTGTAATGTATCCCTGCACCTCTGTAAGGATCGTGCTGTTTCTCCTCAGGCACTATGGGTAATCACCTCCTAGCCAATCTAATGCTACAGACCCGCTCTGGCTCCTCCCCTTACAACACCCTATTGGCTGAAACATTCAACCCCCCCTCACCAGCAGTTTTCAACGCCACTGGTCAGTGTGTGTGATAAAAAGCACTGTTTTGTGTGTTTTAGATGTGTGTATCTGTATTCACTTGTTTTTCCCGTGTTTCTCCTCTCTTCTGTCGTGCTCTCTCTGTTCTGTCTCTTTATGAATTGATTTACAGGCACGTTCAGAAACTCAAGTATGGACACGTGTTCTCACTCTCCGTCTGTCTGTGTTTCTTTCATTTCCATGCTGCTCCTTCATTTTCACCTCCCTGCTGTGTCTACTCAGTTATTCAAATCAAGCATGACATTAAACATAAATGCTAATGTCTCATTTATGCAGTATCACATTTATGTCACAATGACTGGATCAGACATCAGATTTTCCAATGCTTAAGATGTCCGTTTCTACAGAACTGGATTAATAACATGAATAAAAGGGACATCTGGGGGCTATTAAATAAAGTTAGCAGAACTGGGGGACTCTGTCCAGTGTTGGGTTTGGAATGACACGCGGGTGCGCAAATGATGACAAATCGTTAATTTTAAAGTTATTCCCATTTACTGTGAGCAAACTGGCAAGAGACATGACAGACTCTGTGTTTTTGTGGAAAGAGTGAATTTTCATGTTCATCACATGCATGAGAGAACGTAAAAGCCAAAAGCATCACTATATGCACACATTCATGCATATGCAGCGCCTGAAACCACTCGCTCACTCAGAATCAATTACATATCAATGCCACATTCACTAAAAAGTGTCACCTTCTGAAAAAAAAAATGGCCTTGAAATCCAGTTTGGCTTTTTAAACTGAAACATTTCCAGATGTTCAAACTACAAGCATTTAATTCAGCTGCTGTTTAATTGCGCATTTCTCTCTCTGTACTGTAGAGGGCACACTATCGCGCAGCCGTGAGTCGTGTGGGCTGGAGGGAGTCCGGCTCAACGGAAATTACAACAACAGCTACTCGCTTCACGGAGGGAGTTCGGATCTGCTGGGGGGCGTTCCTGTGGGATCCGGGGGCGTGTCCGGAGAAGTCAGCCCCGCCCTTTTGACGCCTAGAGGGGCGGAGTCTGCTGGTGGTTTGAGGCGGAACCTTTCCGACGCGGCGGCATTGGAGAAGATGATCATATCCGAGCTGGTTCAGAGCAACCTGCGGCCTTCCACCGATCGCTACGGCAATGGACCGAATTCCACGATGCACCGGCAGGACTACGCCACGTCAACAAGTCACCGAGAGCCTCCGCAACGGACCTTGCCCCGCCCACCCGCAGGACGAGGAGGAGCTGCTGTACAAAGCGCTGGAAAAGCCACGCCTTCCGGACAAGCCCCGCCTACCCGATAAACCCCGCCTGCCGGATAAGCCCCGCCTCCTGGAACACGCCCAGTCTGTGTTCTACCAGAGCGAGGAGGACTCGGAGAGCTTCTCAGCCGAAATCACGGACGGCGTGGGTGGGTCCGGACCAGACTCCGCCTCCCTGTACGCGCGGGATCGTGATTCATCTTATCCCGACAGCAGTCCCGAGGCGCTGGGGGCGGAGCCACACCCCACCCTCCCGCCGGACGAGCTGTACTTCAGCGCAGGACGCCAAGCGCACATCTCGGCCTTTTACCAGCCTCCGCCTCGCAGGACCAACGACGAGGCTCGGCCGGGACTGCAGCCCTCGCAGGGGGAAGGCGACGGACAGATGCAACTGGTGACGAGTCTGTGACTAGGGCGCTGGTGACCAGGACACGTAGATCTGGAGGAGGACAATGAGGGTGGACGTCTTCAACATCACCATCATCATCATCGCAATTAGCGTCTGGGCGAATCTCATGCGTCTGGTTTGTAGGTCACCCCAAAATCTCAAGTAGGACTTGATCGGAGTTCTGATTTCACTTGTTTTTGTAGTGAAATATGAGCCGGACGTGTTTCCGTGAGATTCTCGCATTAGTATGAAGCTACTTTCAGTGTATCATGTGTCCTGGGATCTCCCA